GCGGTTTCTCAGTAAGGTAGAGTTATCATGCCCTTCTCCACCTGGAACAGTGGCACAGACAACCCATCTGTTTTCCAGACCAAAGCCTGAGAATTACCCTGAACCCCTTCCCCCAGATGATTCAACACAAAGATCCACAAAGTCCAGCCATGTCAGTTCCCAGTTCCTAACGCACCCTTCAGGATATGCTCTATAACAAACAAGTTGTAAGAACAGCCAATGGCCTCTGCCCCAGCCACGGGTCCCGAACCCAGACCCACTGCAAGCTTGCAGCTCCTGCCTGGTGTTAATCTCTCCTCAGCTGCCTGTCCAGACTTCGCCTCACGGTCGGTGAAAATGCTGACTTTCTTACTGAACAGGATAATAGTTTTTGAATGCTGGAAGGATATTTCCTCAACTTATTTTGTGCTCTGACAATGTCACAGCCACAGACACGACACACCTTTAAACTTAATCTGCGCTGTTAACATGCCTTCCTTTACCTTCCTGAGTTCAGACGATCAACAAAACAGTAAATTAAACTCTGATCTCTAGGGTTTGCTTATTTCCATGGTGTAGTCGCTGCCACCAGGGCCAGTGCCAAGCTACCAACGTGACCTCACTGAGTGTGCAGCTGGTAAGAGGTGAGCAGAAGCACACTGTCTTATAGCATCTCCAACCCCTAAACAGAACAGGCGTAAATAACCCCAAGAGCATGCCTAACAGCAAAACGAAGTCAAATCATCGGAAGATGAGGGGTTTTGAGTATATTTGAGTATATTACCTTTGTTTAAATTTAATGTACCCCAATGTACTCTACCCCCAGGGGGGTAGAGGGTGGGAAGGGATAGACTGGGATTTCAAAATTGTAGAATAGATAAACAAGATTACACTGTATAGCACAGGGAAATATACACAAAATGTTATGATAAATCACAGAGAAAAAAATTTGACAATGAGTGTGTATATGTCCATGAATGACTGAAAAATTGTGCTGAACACTGGAATTTGACACAACATTGTAAAATGATTATAAATCAATAAAAAATGTTAAAAAAATAAATAAATTTAATGTATTTGCTGTGAATTTAGTTTGATTTTATGTATAATCTTAAGTTGTGAAACTATAATTCAATTTTAATAATTAACAACTGACTCTTTTAAAATTCTCAAAGTTCTACATAGCATTCACCTCTCACGAGCCAGCGTGAACCAGCTCCGGCACGCCACTGGATCAGTCCCTCACCAGCACTGCACAGGTAGCTAGCTAATCGTCACCTGGCCTCCCCTGACTCACTGATGCTCCACATCTCAGTTATTCACAGGCCACGACAAACCCTCACTCCCAATTCCAAATTCAGCAAAGCTCTGAAATTGCAGTCCTGGTGCAAACTCACTTTGTGGTAAAACCAGATCTGAACCAGCCTGAGGCCATTTTTTTCTATTTTTAGTATCATATGTTTCCCAGCAAAGATATTAATGTTTGAGGTAGGGGGCTGGCACAGATCTCCACTGGGGCCTAAAATAAACAATGTATGTATCGTTTGTTGTTGTTTAGAAACAACATTTCCAAAATCTAAGAAATTCTCAACCTGATTCACATGTGGTCCCAAGGATTTTGAATAAGGGATTGTAGACCTTTAGTGATCTTCATAAAAATATAAATACACTCACACTTTCTCACCCATCCATGCCTCCCTATCACCTAAGGGATAGACTCAAAGTTCTTAAACATGATACAATTTTCAAGTTTCCTCTCTCAACAGTTTCCACCTGGCCCTCCTGTACCAAGCTACCTCCAGGAGTTTGGCCAACCATGACTAATGATTAAACTGGGCTCATTAGTCACGCCTCACCTACATCTTACATCCTTTGGGAAAGAACCAGAACTGAGATAATGCAGGGCTATAGTCTATCTTTTCTGCTCCATCACTTATGTGATCTTAACTGGCCACTTCATCTTCCCTAGTCTCCACTTCTCATCTGTAAAATGGGAACCATAAACCAGCAAGGATGCAGGGAAGATAAAGCAAGTTCATGGCCATGAAGATACTTTGAAATGTGCTATATATTACATTTAAAGGTTCTTACTCCTTATCTTTCTGAAACAGGAACCCTGGGTTGAAAGCAGATGTTCTTTACCCCACCAGATGAGCAGTCAGGGATTTCTCATCTTCCCAAAAGGAGCTGAAAGTTAATGTACATAAAATCCAGTCATCTCTGACACATACAAAAAGGGTTATGATTGAAGAGTCTTGTGTGCTGGGGAAATTGGTCTATATCCCAGCCATGTAACTCATGAGAGCTGAGTGGCTGGGTCTCAGTCCATCAGGAAAAAGAGGAAACGGACAGGAGCAGCCCCAAGCACTCATCTTTCTGAGCCTGTGTGTTTATCTGTTTGTTTTGTTTAGTTTTACTGTTGTTATTCTGGAGGTTTTGGGTTTTGTTTGATTGTTTTTTGCTGTTGTTGTTTCTGCCTTTCCCTATGTTGTTGTGCTACAAACAAACAGGACTCAAGTGTGAAAAGTCATTCAAAACCTATATGCATGACCCTCCTTCGATAAATAGCCTCCCATCTTCTGCTTAAACAGTCACAGTGACTCGGAGCCTATTCACTTAGCCCAGGTTCCTGAACCATCTTCTTTACAACCGGTAGCTCTGTCCATTACAAGAATACAGTCTGATCCAGCTTTAAGAATTAACAGGCAAGGAAAAGAAACTGGCAGATTCTTACTATGGTAGAAATGATTGGAATCAGATCTTTTCTTGAAAGTACCCTTCGATGGAGGGTTTGGGGAGGAGTAAAAGAATTTTGGTGGAAAGGATGACCAAAAACAAACACAAAAGTATTACTATTTAAAGAGGAGAGATGGGTTCCAATGAGCAAAGGAAGAAAGTCTGACAACAAATAAACAAATGTGATTGCTTGAAGTTCTATATGCACAGGCTGTATGCCTCACTTTGATCTTAATTTAATTGGGCACCACAAACAAAAGAGAAATGGAAAACTGGCTGCCAGAGTCCTCATCAACTCTTTGAGTTCCTGTTAGGTGCAGAGCTACATACAAAACTTGGGTCTTTGGGGCAAAGCTGTTTGTATTTATCTGAAAACGGCTGGTTTTAGCCATCCTCCTAGTCGATGTTATATCAAGCACACAATTGTGGTGCTAAGCCTCAATGCAGATCACATAATCAGATTTGTATTTGGACAATTGCTGTCTACAGGCCATTATAATCACTGAACAAAAACATTCGAACAAACAAAAAACCAAGTCAAAGTTCTATACGAAAGAAAAAAAAAAAGGCACCATTAAAGAAATGACTGATTCTATTATGTGAGAATTCAAAAACTGCCACCCTGGATTTTGAAAGACCACATTTGTGCATTCTTTCTTCTAAGTAAGATACATTGTAGAGACAAAGCAGGTGTTTACTTTTGATGTGTCCTTCAGCATTTAAGTTGATACTTGTCCTAATCAAGGGAGACTTTTCATTTGCACAAGCCCTATTTCACTCTGCAATGGGAGGTGGAGTGTGGGGAATAAAATGTAGGTTGGTAAAAGTGAATAAATGAAAAGCCTGAATAGACTTTTCATTAAAGGTAACCCAGAGATAACTTCAAATAAAAAAAAAAAGGGTAACCCAGAGATGATAGGGATAGAGACAGATAGGATAGAAATAAATGTAGAGGCTACCAAAAGAAAAGGACCTTTTATCAATGGTTAGTACTTATGAGAGGAAGGACAGTACTGCCCATTGAAAATCCGCTGTGTTCTGGGGACTTTGTTTAGAATTTCACAGTGTTATATTGTTTAGTCTTCATAACAACTCTTCAGTTATATATCATTATCTCCAATTTATAGATGAAGACAAAAGTACTCAGAACCTGTCAGGTTTTCAAAAGTTTATTTTAATTCAATTCTTGGAATTCATTTGATACAATAATACAACATAGTGGTCAGACAGATGGACTGAACCGGTTATTTAATTCTGTGTTCCATTGAGGGATTTGTTCTGCTCACCTGGATGTTTAAACATTCCAGTGTTGCTCTCTTAAAACTTAGTTAAAGATGTCCTGCCCAGAGGAGAAAGATTAAGTGATTCTTCACTCAAGGTATAGAAATTACTGAGTTTTCTGTTGGAACCTGTGATGATCATATTGACAAGAAATTTACAGAACCAATTAAGTATCTGAAATAGAGTTCTAATTGTATTCTTCATTTAATAGTATGGATTCTGTGGAAGAAAAGAGGTGCCTCTTACCATTATTATGTACATATTTTACTTATGATTATAGAGACCATGACAATCCTAATATTTGCTTGGTGGGTAAAAAAAAAAGCCACCCAGACACTAGAGTTTCATATAGGACAGAAAGGTAACCATCTTCATGGTGTCATTTGCAATGAAAACCCCTGTTGATGAGATAAGCATTGGGGGTGAAGAGAGCAGCTATTAAAGGGATAGGACGTCAGCGTTAGATTTGGTTTTTATCCTAACTCTGGACAGGTGGCCCCTCTTCCCTATCCTTCATGAGTTCCCTTGTTTTGCTGCTCATGTTACCGTACGTAAGATAAACTTCAAACTAATACGTTGACCTCATTCACCCTCTTTCCTAACGCTTATTTCTACTGTACCCAGAGTGGGATGGTAAGTAGCCTGCTGAGGTTGGAGGAAGAGTGCTTACAAGAGAGAGAGAGACGGAACCAGACACATCAGTTAGGAAGCTAATGCAATAGCCCTTGAGAGCAGTGATGAGGGCCTGACCTAAGGTAGGCTTGGGGGGGGGGGTTGAGTGAAGCAACTAGCCTGGAAAACAGCTGTAGAAGTCAAACCTGGCCGTACCATCAGCCATAAGGCACCATGAAACATTACTCTCCAACTGGGCATGTCAATTGATTACCTTACACAGTACAGTATCCAGGATAAATTCTTCCACACACCCATCTCCTATTCTATTATGGTGTTGTCAAGGAAAATGGTAGATTCCCACTGCCTTTTGCTTAGTCATAACTACTCACTCTGTCAAGAGCCAGAAGCCTTGAATAGTCTCTCCAGAAGTCTTGTCAACGTGGCCTTTCAAGTCTTCCATGGCGGTCTCAATGGCCCCTGGCTGAGTGGGAAAAGAAAATACCTAGTTTAGAGAAGACTGAGTTCTCTTTGTGCTTATGATCATTTACTGTATCCCTGCAGCTCCTCCAGAAAGCTGACCAGGAAAGGTAGTTCTTGGGTTTGCCTGCTTTCGTAGGCCCTGCCTTCCAGAAAGCTGCCTTAAACTCTGGTATTTATTAAGCTGCTCTCCTTGGGTCAAAGGTGATCGGGTCCTGTGAGGCTTCCATAATCTGGCTCATACTTTCCCATAGAAATGGAGACAGCCATTTTCAGGGAACAAGTTTTTCTGATAAACAACATGTTTATCAGGAAGGTCAATGCATTTAGCAATATATACATTAAAAAAAATCAAACTGTCCTCTCTTCAAAGAGTATATGGCTTTAAAACACAAAAGGGAAACCTTCCTCCAGTGCACTGAGTATACTTTTAGCTGGCTCTGGGAAGTGAACATTTTTTGTGTCCTTACTTCTCTTTCTTCACCCTTCTCCAAATAGGTATTCCTATGATGAGCCGATCTCTAGCTTAAAAATGGATTAACACCTATCTTAATAAGAAATTAATAGGTCTTCTAGCTCAATGATTCTTAAACTTCAGGGCACATCAGAATCACCTGAAGTGTGTTTTTAAGCACAGATTTCTGGACTCTGTCCCTAGAGTTTCTGGTTCAGTGGTTCTCGGGTAAGCCTGAGAATCTGCATTTGCAACAAGTTCCCAGGTGATGCTGTGGGTGTGGACTCTTCTATGAGAACCATTGTTCTCTGGCAGATATTCTCAATCTTGGCTACTCATCAGAATCACCAGGGGAGCTTGTAAAGATCCTAATGCCCAAGCTGTGCACCAGGCCAATTATATCAGATACTCAGTGGACGGGACCCACATTAACAGTTCATCAGGATTTCTGGAAGCATCCCAGAGGACGCCAATGTATAGCCAAGGCTGAGAACCCCTGCAGCCCAGAGCTTACCTATCACAAGCTGTTTCATTTTATAGGTGCAGAAAGAAGGAGTCTGTGTAGGGAAGTAACTTGTCAAGTTCACTCAGTTGAAAAGTGACAGAGACCAGATAGGCACCCCAGACACCCCACTTCCAGGCCTACAACACAGTGATGGCCTCATGCCCAAACCTGGGATAAGTACTTCTCAAGTGCTCATATATTCTCTATACAAAAGGGTTTTATGCTAAATATCTACTCTTCCATAAATATTAACATTTCTAACCCTCCTAGCCTGAGACTGTTCTCTCCCAAAAGGAAACAGGGATACTAGCCTGGCTAGGACCCATGCAGGTATCTTTTCCTCCCAGAGAGGAGGTGATTGTAGGATGCTGGTTTGCCTGTGTTCTCAGGCTATGATAAAAGGCTTTGAAAGATGTTGGCCACAGAGTGCATTGGTTAAGAGAAATCTTAGACGAGTCCATGTGTAAAGTATAGAAAAAGAATGAAGCTGCTCCAGATGAAGTGGTGGAAGGCGGTGTAGAACTGTATCTGTGCAGCTCCCCACCTCCCTCTAATTCACACCACCCAGCCCAAGTCATCCAGGAAATGGACGGGACAACTGACCACAGTTGAGTGACATGGGTCCATCGTCCAGATCTGTCATGAATAAATTCTGTGGCCTACGGCCAATTGTTTGACTTGGGCTCCATTTCCTTCTCTGTAAGACAACTGAGTAGACTGAACCAAGAGTTTCTGAGCCAAGATGATGAGCAAAACCTCCTGGGAATCTTTAAGAAAATACCATCATAGCCTTTATACCAAGATATTCTGACTTCTCAGTTTTAACAAGTTTCCTGCTGAATTGGACAGTCAATCAGTGGGCTGAATGATTTCTGACTCTTTTGTCATCCTCTGCTGCTGGTTAAATAGTTGTCAGGGAGCTAATGTGGTACCCTAGGCCTGCCGAAACCTGTGTGTCATGAAATCAGTAAGTTCTGAGACATGAATCAAATATGCCTTGAGCTCCCACTGACAGAGGAGGTTGTGCCAACATCACTGATGTCCAGTGATCCCACTAGTAGGATGGGTCTACCCTGCAGGCATATTTCCTATGATTCCGTGACAATTGTCTTGTCACCCACCCTCAGCTCCTCGTGACGCAGCCTGGCTTTACCAGGCCCACTGGTCAGTGCTCTAAAAAATGACACTTTCTTTGGTGACTCATCATGGCTGTTTTTCCTGTCTCTCTTTCTATAGTCACATAATTTCTGCCTCAAGCTAATATAACTTGGTAGTGAAATGAATACTTTTTAGAAGGAAAAAATTTGAGTGGAACTGAAGAATAATGAAATAATCCTAAAATAAGCATTTTGTTGAATGTTTTTATACCAGGCACTTCGCCAAAAATATGTGCAGATGAATGTAAGAATGCAGAATTTTTCAAAACCTTACTTGTCTTCCCTATGGGAAGCATTTGGCAAAATCTACCAAAATGATCTGTCCTTCAATCCACACATTCCATTTGTGTGAAGTTATACTGTAGACACTCCTGCATGTGTACAAAATGACATAAGTATAAAGTGTCCTTCGTAGCCTTGTTTTTGGACAGCAAAAATTTGGAAATAATGCAAATATCTATCAATGGGAAACTTGTTAGATAACATCATGGGACACAGCCATGCAATGAAATATGATAAATATGTTTAACAAAATGAAGAAACACACTTATAGGTAAATTTTTCAAAATTTATTACTAAGTGAAAGACAGAAGTATTCAGAAGGGTCAGTATGCTACCTTTTTGTGTAAAAAGGAGAATGGATAAGAATAAGTATTTAAGTTTGTTTGTACATGCCACTGTAGAAGGATATGTAGAAAATGCTAACAGTGGTACCCTAAGGGTAGGGAAGGAACTTGATGGATGGAGATGTTGTTCTACTGTACACCTTTTCAAAAGTTAAACATTAAAAATGAAGTGTGCTATTTACAGAACGGTTTGGAAGTCTCTGGAGTTCTGTCCGTGTCCTCACTGCCTGCATTCTTACCTTCAGCAGGAGCATCAGTCATGCCTGCACGGAGCAGTTGTGCAGTGTATCCTGACATATTGATTACCATAATAAATTAACTCCAGCTATTTAGTGTCAAAAATGAAGTACAGTGCATGAACACTTTGCCTTGTGTCCAGGACAAGGTTTTAAATCTCAGCCTTTCTGCTTCCTGTGACACCCACCTTAAGTCATCTTGTCATTCCAGGCATCAGTTTATCATTTATTAGATGGAAAAGATAACATTATCTGTACTAGAGCAGCTAGGAAATTCCAAAAACATTTGGTAATGCTGAATAATAACAGACTTTATGATTATTCTTCTTGTTAATATTAAATAGAAGGGAAATTGTTGTACCGGGATTTGGGGATCAAATGGTTGCTGCAGTGGAACAATTAGCTCTGAGACTCCTTGCAGCCTAAAATGAATAGGAAAGTGTGATGGAATGATATGTACTCATCATCCGATAAAAGAAAGCTTAGCAAGGAAATACACATACATTTCTAATACTAAAAATAAATAAATAAATAAAATGTTAAGAAAAAAGTCATTCGGGGGATCCACATTTATAAGTCACTACATAGCATAATGGGCATTATCATCTCTAAGAGTCTAGCCCTAAATATTTTCAGTCAAAACAAATGTACTGAGGAAATTCGTTTCCTTGTGTTTCCTTGAGCTAGACTAGCCTGGAGCCAGTTGTCACACGAACGGCACTCATATTGGCTGCTAATATTTCCCCATGGGCTGGACTCCTTAGTAGACAGTGAGAGGAGGGGGCGGTCTAGAAGGGATGCTGCTGGGGGCTCAGACAAGGTGAGAGCGCTCTCATGGGCATCCTCATGTCCAGAGCAGGTTGGCTTTGTGGAAAATCCACAAGGTAAGAAAACCGGCTCTAAATTGAATGTGGTTGGTAAATCCCAGGCAAATTGGTCTCTCCCTGACAATGAAGGAAATGCATCTGATTCTATTATTGTTAATTGTCTGCCCTCAGATAGAAACGTCAACTTTATTACAATCTTCAAAGGATTTCGCTGTAAGGAGGGGAGTCAAGAAATCTTTTGCCCAGAGAGACATATAATTTCTAAAGCAGAGAAGCTCAGACAAAAACAATATAACTAATATATTTAGTTGTTCCCAATGCAAGAGCGAGACACGGGGAAGCCTATGGTGAGAGAAGGGGGAAAGGAGAGCGTATGAAAGCCAAATTAGTGTCATGAAGGCAATGACATCTTGCCACACAATGGGAAGTCCCAAACCTGCTTATTAAAGTCTCGTTGCTCACAATAGAACACAGGCTATAAAAAGGCCATGGGGAACCATTAATTAAATATTAAAAGATCAAATAGTTTTAGTCCCATTAGTTTGTATGTAATTTACATTCTTAAGTATAAATTTAGAGATAATTCCCCATCTCTAATCGCTTTCAACTTTCTGATAAGGTGTCTGCAAATATAGAGTCCTACAGGGAGTTTAAATATATCTTTCCCCATGCAGATCAAGTATTGTTCCTTTCATAAGAAGTTGCTTTTGAATATCACTCTCCACAACTGAAGTGATTATCATAATATACCTCGAGTTATTAGCCTTGAGGGGTACTTTTGTTGAGAGAAGGCAGGAGGCCATTTTTAGATGTCTAAAGATTAATAGCGGATGAACAAAAAATAGGAGGAAAAGGTTATCCAAGCAGGCGGATGACGAGTGGTTCAGACCTTCATTGCTGTGACTTCTCATTCATTGTCCAAGGTCACAGGCAGTGGATGGGTGGTGGGAAGTGCCAGGAATCTCAGATTCCAGGCCTGCCAGGGCCCCAAAGGCGCTGGTTGCCTTTGGATAAATCATATCTCCTTTGTGCGTCTTAGCAGTGGGCTTGGATATTCTCTGAGGTCACTCCTGGCTCTAACTTAGCAAGAATGCTGCTAAGCTATATTGGAAGGGCAAAGCTGCAGTAAATAAATAATTGGCTGGAAGCCTGAGGGAAGACAACAACAGCCCAGAGCGACCCACGAAAGAACACCAGAGATCTAAAGGACCAGACTGACAAATTTTATGATCAGGTATTCAAAAGTGTGATCTAATGCAGGATGTTATGATGCTAAAAATGTCTCATATTTGTCCTGAATTCTCCTAAATTTGATTTATACTTCCGTACCAGTCACATCTTTGCATAAGCAGCCTGAAATGCATGTAGTTGATCCTCCGGCTTTTACAGCATTGGGCATCCACTCCTGGCAGCTGAAAAGCTCAGGGCCATCCTGCCAGAGCAAGCCACTTGCCTTCCCAGGGTAAAGGATATGAACAAGAAACAGCCTAAGTATCCAGCAAAACTTAAAAAAATTTTAGTACATCTTCAGAGCAAATGCTACAGAGTGTGAAAAAGGATGTTACGGAAGTATAGCCATTGACAGAAATTTTTGGCATATAATCCTATTTTTGCACAATAAAATGTACATAGAAGACAAAAAGTAAGAAAAAATATGCACCAAGATGTATATATAAAAGCACATTCATATATTTTGGTTAACTTTGAGATATGGAAATATGGTGACTTTAATCTTGCTTAGCCACATTTTCCAATTTTTTTCAATAAACCACCTCCTGTGAAATTATTTTAAAATCTTTTGATAAACTAAAATGCTTGACCAAGGAGCTTCTCTACTTAGTTACTTACTGCTCTTCTGAATTTGCAACATGCATTTTTTAAGTTCTTACACTGTAATAAACTGATTCGTTTCATCACTACATGGGATCACAGAACTATGAATGAGAATTGGGAAACACTGGCTCTAACCCTAGCCTTGCCACTTACTAGCCTCTTGGGTAAGTCAGTGCTCACTAACTGTTATGACATTGGGTGAGCAACTGCTCCTCTCTGGGCCTTAGCTGCCTCTGAAAATGTGAGTGTTAACTACACACATAGTGTTCACTACACACATAGTGTTCAAAGTGTGATGTGTGGACAGAGATCATGAGTACTGCCAGAGACTTCATATAAATGCAGAATCTAAGGTCTCACCCCAGACCTACTGAATCAGACCTGTATTTTAACAGGATTTCCAGGTGATTTGTTTGCATGATAAAGACTGAGAAGCACTGGACCAGATCATCCATAGATCCCATCTCAGTTCTAAGAAGTGATACCTTATGATGAATGTTTCATAGATCTGAGTCATTCAGAGCCCTGATCTTATTTAATTATCCCTTGAGAAAATGAGTTAGCTTCCTTTGTTCCAAACTCTTTCCTGCTACAGACCCTATAAGTCTACATTTTTGTCTCACCCTGGAGGTCATGGGCATCTTAATATCATTCCTTATTACCAATTACAGAAATGTGAATGCCAAAGCAACAGAAAAGAGGGAGAGAGCATTTAGGATAGCAATAATGCTGCTTATCACGTGTTAATAGAAGTGTCATACACTGTACAAGAACTCTTACAAGATTAGCTTACTGAAATTCCCATGTCAAACTGCTGTTTTATCCACACTTTGAAGATGAGAAAATTTATATATACATATACATTCACACATATGTGTGTGTATGTGTGTGTATATGTGTACGTATGTGTGTACACACATACACACACACATACATACATCCCCACATTTTTCTCAACTACCACCACATCAGCAGATCTGTGGTTTACAAGGTAGTAAAGGTGGCTCATCCCTTTATGTATTCAAAATAATATTTCTCATTATAAGTTTCAGTTGAGCCAACAACTGTATTTTCATTATCCTCACATGCATTAAAGCACGTTCATTATACTCACATGGGAAAAAAAAAACTATTCATATTTTCTCTTTTAGTCTGAAAAAAGTGAAGGCTGAGTGCCTTGGGAATACAGCCCTTACAGCTACCCCGTGAAGAGTCCACATGTCTATTTTGGACTCACTGATAAGATAAGAAGGTTTTCCTCCCCCAAGCCTTTGAGAACTGAAAGTTGTTTCCTACACACCTGATGGAGAAGATGCTCTTCACGTGAGTTGGAGTCAGTCGTTAAAAACCTTTACAAAGGGGCCTTAGGTTCAACTGGCCCTGCACGCTGAACTCAGAGACAGAAGATGCAGATTGTAGCCAAAGCTCTTCCACTAATATTATGTGACTCAGACAGGTCACTTCCCTCCTCTGAAACTTCAGGATGTTTACCATTAAAACAAGAGCGATAAGCCCTTCCGTGCCTACCTCACAGTGCTGCTCCAAGGGGCTGTATTTTCTAAGCTACACAGAGCCACACAAATAAGGGCATTGTGTAAACAAATAAATAAATACTCCGTTGTGGCTTTAGACTGTGTCAGCTGAGCTAAGCTGGAGCTACATTTTCTAGAATTCCTTTTCCTGTCTACTTCCAAATTAGGGTTGGCCACGAGAGGCATTTGTGTCAGACTGGAAAGGGAGAGGTGGACCATCAGTCACGTTCCTTGCTGAAGATCCCCAGGCGTCGACACAGCTCAAGTTCACAGCCGCCCATCTTCTGTTCACTTGACGGCACGGGGCAGCCCCAAAACCCACAGCTCCTTCTGTTAGAGTCAGCCCCCCTCCCTCAGATCCACCACCCCCCTCGCTAGCTGGGGAAGTGTGCAGCTCGATGGGGAAGAGCACTGGCTTCTCCTGAAAGGGACTCACATCTTCAAGTTCAGACGTGGGAGACAGACCTGCTTCCCACTTTTCCTTCACGCGTCCCACTTGGTCATAAGGCTTTCCAGTTTGTCCATACAGTTTCCAGTTTTCCCCTATTCCCTATTCTTACTTCACAATTGCCAGTTGGTCGATCTATAGCAACTTCAGGCCCATCATCAGATGCAAAGACAACAGCTTTGCACAGACTTCTCAGGCAGCTCTCTTAGCTGCACCAGATTCCAGTGATAAACCTCCTCTCTTATATTACTCACAGCTAATTCTCTTATCAAACACTGATGGATACATTTTCACTATTAAAGATAAGGACACTTTAGGGGATGCTTGGATTTCCTTCACAGCTATACCTTACAAATTCACTTTGTATATTCAATAAAGTTCACATACTTTAGAAAGCAAACCAAATGCTTTACATGTGCAAAAAAGCACATAAACGCATACACACTATAGAATGTACCAAAGCACTTTGCCCATAAGAGTCAATGAACATGAGTAATATGGGTATGTATCTTCAAACACACGTGTGCCCACGCACACACACACATTGAGTCTCTTTAGTTAAAACTGTATCTTAACCAAAGATATGTTTTAAAACCTAACAAATCAGGAGTCAGTAGTTAAAGCATTGTTAATTGTCCCAAACTCTTGGTCGCCGCTTATTTAGGAGATTGAGTTGGGAAAAAAAAAATGTTTCAACAAAAAGATGTTCCAAATACACTTGAAAATTCAGGTGGTTTCTGTTGCCACAGTGCACAGCCTGCAATTTTCCCCCTAACTGATTGTACCTATGAGCTCACCGCTACCGTGTTGACAAGAAAGGTGAAGGACTGGGAGAGGAGATCTGTAAGTAGGAAGGAGTGTTCAAGACAGAGAAAGGTACCAGAACCCAAGGGAGTACACTCTACGGGATCCAAATGTGAGAAGTTTAGAGCATTTTTAATATCTAGATATGCAAACCCCATCCTTGTTACACACCCATCCATTTATTTCCCCAGCTTTGATGCACAGGGAAGCCCAGCTCGAGGCTGCAGTTATAGGTTTGGGATTTAACGTGCCTGGTCCCACACTGCAGTGCCAGCATGCCCGTGGAGACCCCTGAGGTCCAGCCTAATCTCAGCAACCCTTCCCACTCCATCACCCATGTCTTCTCCAAACGTACACCAAATACTCTGGGCTCAGGGATTTACACTCTAGTCAGTCTGGTTCTCTTCACAGAGCATCAATTTACTAAGGTCAGGTGTAGCAGGGATACAGGACTGAGGAGCTGAAGACTCCTCAGTAAAAAAGCTGGAGGACTTGCTTCTCCTTGATCCTACCTGCTGATCAAAAATAGACCCTTAACCTCTGAAATTCAGATCCTCACCTGCAACATGGGGATAAGGATGCCTACGTCACAGTTATTGTGACAATTACACAAGACAACAAATATGAAAACAGTTGGTCGAACACGTGGTACGTGAAAGGATGTTCGGGAATTTTAAGGAGAAGACTTACGTAGTATTTAAGAACACAAATGATTTTACAGTTTTACCCGTGTAACGAAGTACTTCCGTGCGATATAATGCTGGTGATAGGGATTGGGGTAAAGTGCCGACTCCGTCACACTCGACAGCCTTGAAATCTGCCTTGGCGATGGGTCCTTGCCTGAGCTTCCCTCCTCCGTGGACAACGGGTCAGTCTCTGAGGGCTGGTCATCTCCCTCTTGCTTCAGAGACACAGGCTGGAATCCTTCAAAATCCCCAATTGTTGACATGTCTTCAACCTAAAACAAAAGAAGAAACAATCTTCTCATCAGAGAAAAAAAAAGAGTCACGTGTGTCCTAGCTATGGCAAAACAGTCTATGATGAGCAAATGACATTCCTGAAACGGCCCAACTCACCCAACAGCACACATTAGCTAAGCAGAGGCACTGATGGCGGCAGTTCGATAACACAGACGCCACAATCCTGCGGGGATACGTACCAGGGGAAAGAAGCAGAGACCCTCTGGACAGAGAAAAGGAGGCTGCAAGTAGTTCCACTTCCCCCATCTTTAACCGCAGGGGACAGGAATCTTCACAAGGGAAGACCGGTGTGAAATAATCATCAGATAATTCCTCTTTGAGATTTCACAGCATTCTCGCTTGAAAACCTACCAGCCGGCAAGCTTCATTGACAGTTAAAAGCAATGATAATGCACCTTCTTATGTACTTCTTGGGAAGTAAAAGGGCACAAAAGCACTTAGAACTGAGTGTGTTTTCAACTGCAAAACTGCAATCCTAAAAATGTATCCTCAAGGATATATTGTACAACATGGGGAATAGAGCCAATATTTTATAATAACTATAAATGGAGTATAACCTTTAAAAAGTGTGAATCACTGTATTGTACACCTGTAACTTACATAATATTGTATGTGAGCTATACTTCAATTTAAAAAAATTTAATAAAAAATGAAAATATATCCTAAGGAACTAATTTAGACAAATACCCAAAGACATAACTATAGAAGGTTGTGCATGACAACGTTGTGTCTAACAGCAGAAAAAACACATAATGTCCAATAGCAAAACATTGTGTCTAATAGCAACAGTAGATACTCACACAACATTACATCTAATACAAAAAATATAGTGAAACAAAATATCTGTCAGTAAGGAACTGGCTAAATAAGACATGTTACACCATACAGTGAGTGTCATGTAGTCATTGCAAATATGATATATATTTTTACCATGGAATCATGTCCAAAATATATTGTCAATGCAAAAAAAGGTACATTATGAGAACGTTATTGAAATTTGTTAAAATAATTCAGGAAGAAAGAAGGAAGGAAGAGAGAAAGAGAGGAAAGGAAGGAAGAAATAATAACCTGGATTTGCATATGTGTGTAGGATAGAGGTTAGAAAAAAATCTGGAAAAAAAATAAAATGGAATATTAGCAATAACTGTCCCTGACAAACTAAGTGGTTACCAGTGGGGAGGGGCAAGACAAGGCAGGGGAATAAGAGGTACCAACCACTATGTATAAAATAAATAGGCTACAAGGATATACTGGACAGAACAGGGAATATAGCCAATATTTTATAACTATGGATGAAATATAACCTTAAAAAATTGCGAATCACTATGCTGCACACCTGAAAGTTGTATAATATTGCACATCTACTATACCTTACTTAAAAAAAAAAGATTATCTCTGCATGATATGGTATATCTTTATTTTTTATTTTTATTTTTATTTTGTTTTCATAAATCTCTGGATGCTTACAATGACTTACACCTGATTTAAAATAAATAGAAACACAATAGATTTATGTATATTTTATAAATATATAGTGACACAAAGAAACCAAACCAAATAAAAGACACATGCTACTGAAAAGCACCAGCGGTGGAGTGGCCATTTTCAAGCTGAGGCCACACGGCCGCACCACCAATGCCACAAGGGAGGAGGGCCGCCCGCCCAGCAGCACCGTGGGACTGGGAATGCCATCCTACTCTCAGGGCTGTCCCTGTGTTCTTACCGGGACAAAATTCCATTTCCTCGGTTCTTGTGAAACACCAGAAAGTGAGAAACAGCCACCATCCACAGCAAGTGTACGTTATTGAAACTGGGAATAAGTAGACTACTTAAGAGAGATAAAAAATAGGATGAACATGTAGTTCACTGCCTCCCCCGGGACACTTTTGAGTATGAAAAGGGCGCTATTAACCACTGTGCCAGGGCGATGGGAGTGAACCGGCATTGTCTCAGGCAAACGTGGACACCCAGTCCCCCTAAAGGGCTTGAATGGAGCAGAAAACACAGCTGGTTAGGGGACTCCCCCATGAAAAGCCCCCGGCAGATCACACTGCAGGTGGTTTTGCCTGATTCTCCCAGCAGCCCTAGGAGGATGGTTTCATCTCCATCTCTCTGGGGATCCCAGGTTGGTGGGACTCACCCAGGTGCACTTGGGTAGTATTGGCGGCACCTGGACTCCCACCCAGGACTTCCAACCAGGCTGAGTCCAACGTCTCCACCAAGCTGCAGGCTGATTCACAGTGGGAAGGGCTTCACTGGGCTTTCAGATAATTTTTTAAAGTTACTGGCCTGTGAGAAATCCAAGGGCATGTGTGGAGAAGCAGGAGAAATTTTGTGCGTGTGTGAGTGTGTGTGGCCTCCCCGGCAGCCTCATGCCATGTTTATGCAGGTCTGCCACCTCTGCTGTGGTGGGTGTTGGAAGGAAGTGTGTTTCTAGAGTTCCCTGTAACCTGTGAAGGAGGGTTTGTGCCTTTGGGGAAGGAAAGCCTGCTTCTGTATTTGCCGCACTCTGGGAACTGGAACCTAACAGCAGACATCTGTGAAAGGCTCCAGTGCCTGGAAAACAGAGGGAGGATTTAATTAGCACCACTGCGTCTCTCTCAGGCTGTCTTCTCTGGAAACACTTGGGGAAGGGAAGCAGGGCACTTTGAGACTGAGATTTTGAGGTCCAGGAAAGAAGGAACCTCAGCTCCAGCGAAACTCTTACAGCCGTGATGAGTGGAAGAGTTGAGCCCAGCCATCTCCCCGTGGAAGGATTCCAGCTCTGTTTCAGGCCTGGGGACACCTTCACAAGGACAATGAACATAATGACAACAACCTCCCCAAGGAGAGGGGTGCCGTGCCTCCCAGCAGCCCCCTCCATCCCTCATCACCACCTGCCCAGACCACGCTTCTTCCCAAGTCAGTAAGAACCTGCCCTCCTATCCCTGCTTAACCAGGCTATATACATTGAAATATTAAAAGCTTGTACAGTGATAAATTATGCCTTGCAACAGACCCATCCAGAGCCATTTAGAATTGAAAAGGATCATTGTTCCCTAAGACTGCCCAGTAAATTTATCTTAGCATGTGGTGCCCAGGAGAGTAAAAGCAGTATAAATTTCTAAGGGAAGCAAAGGATCAAGGCTTAGAAAAGAATTACATCCATATTTTTTGACCAAATTTTCTCATTTCAGGGAAATCGTGTAATGAAAATTATCCTTAAAAAAAAAAAGAACTACCTATGATATTAATTGCATATTCTAGGTAGTAATAAAAAATTGGAAACCAACTAAACACCTAATGGCCAAGGAATTACTAAGCTCCCACCTGATATGGAGCTGACATTTACAATGACATGTACATGCACTGCAGCATCGTGGAGTAAGGATGTATCTTCTTGGGCCAAGAAAACCAAAAAAAACAAAGAATTTTTTCTCTGGAAATGATTATTTTTTTACATTGGTAAAGACTAGAAGGGAAATATTTAGATTTATTGAGGTAGTTGGATTACACCTAAATTTTTGCTTTTTAAACGAATTTTAAATCATGCTAAAATGTTAGTGTGGCTTTTGTAATAAAAAATAAAATGTGTGAATAAATGTATTGGCTCACAAACTCAGGAACAGTAACTGGCCCCTGCACAGAGAGGGCCAGAAGAGACTACAGAAAGAGGCAGGCTACTCCAGGTCGGCAGGTGGCAGGTTTAATCAGCAAGGGAACTTCCATCCAAGGCGTGTCTAGGACGGCAGCAAGATGATTCACACTGGTCCGTCAGAATCTTTAAAGTTCTTAGAGAGGCCTTAACTGGGTTCAGTTACGTATTCAATCCTGATGGTCCCAACACCACACTTCTCTCTCAAGCTTGCATCCTTGAAAAGGGCTCCCATTGAAGGAACGATGGGTAGAATGGACATTCCAAGGACGGGGCAGGTGGAGACAGGCCTCCTATCGCCCAAGTCCAGCTTGCTGGTCAACTAGCAACCACTCCTCGTGATGACCTCCTCCAACAATGCCAAGCAAATACTTAAAGAATTGCCACCCTTCCTTCGGTCAGACAGTAAGAATTCTGTGTATTTCGGCTGCCAGCAATTTCAGAGCTAGATTTAATACACTATTGGAATAACTAACTTATTTCTGGATCCTGGTCTAAGTATACCTGCCTCCCTGGGTATATGCCTTCATCTATCTCCGTGGGACTTTTGCTAAGACTATTTCAGAAGCATAGAGGGGAGTAAATGACAGCTGGAGAATTATTGTCTAGTCCAATTCCTTCATTTTGCAAATTTTAGAGCATTAATGTAAAAGACTTGCCCAGGGTCACACCGCTAAATAGAAACAAAACATGAAATCAGACTCCTGGACTCTAGTTCACTGCTTCTAGTGGTAGCATTTTAGAAGAAAAGCAGGAACAGTTATCAAACTTACACGTGGGTGAACTGAAGACACTTTTGCCACATATCTGCAGCCAGTCCACTTTGCTTTGCTCTGGGACGGGAGATACAGCTCCCGTGAAGCAGGGCTCCTCCCCAGCTTTGCCCCCCCCACCAGCAGCCCCGCATCCTGCCCTGTGGGCTAAGCTTCCTCCTTCACCGGACATCAGGCTGACTTTTTCTTAGGCACGTGAGGCCCAGGGCCTGAGTCCACAAAACTTCTAGGGGCCCAGGAAGTGTTTTAATGTATTTCAACATCAGAAGAGAAAAATTAAATTTTATAGTGCCTGTTACTACCTCTCTGGAGCCCTGAAAGACAGAATGCCTTGTTAAGAACCATTCATCTATTCTAACCTGTATGTTTTGTAAACGAGGAAATTGAGGCCTTGATATGTCCCCTGAACTCTCAGTTTAGTTTAATTTTTAAAAAGTTGAAGAGAATAAAGAATGAAGTTATGGCCACCAAGGATTAAAAATATACTATCTAGAGGAATGTTTGTGGGCCAACCAGGAGCTTAGAAAATTCTACAGTGTGCTCACAAGTGCTGCCGCCCTCTGGCAGGTGA